GTTGGGCTGCAAAGGTGGCAGGTTGAGCCAGTTTAGTCAAGAGTTGAACTGAATTTACTTTTTGTTTGAGTGCATCACAGGTTTTAAATTCCTTTCGAGGGGGCGTGGGGGCTGCCATTGCCTTATGCTTAGGGGACTAGTAGACAGGGTGGGGAGTGGGGGGATTAATGCTCCACCTCATGCTTTCCCTGCACAGCTGTTACACAGAGAACATCTTTTGCCACCCTGCTGCCTGACCTCACCAGTTGGCTACTGTTGCTTGCTACTCCTGTTAGGGTTGTGCTGGGGCTGAGGGTCTCTCATTCTGCCTCTGCTTCGGTCTTAGGGAGGGTGCCTAGGCCTCAGGGCGAGATCTCTCTTAGCATTTCTGCCCTTTCTACCACAGAAGTCAACCTCTGCTTTGAATCTGTGGTTGTAGATTTCAAGGCTCTTCTATATACTGCCAAATTGCATCCCAGAAAGCATGTGCAACCACATTTCACCAATGACAATCAAGGGTTCTACAAAAAAAGGTTTTCAGTCTCAGACATCACTGTGCTCTTTTGATATGAGTGATTCCATAATTATATTGCTCACTTATATGATGAAAATGCAACACTGGGCCTTGTGCATAGTAGACCATAACCCACTTTTCTGGTTAACTGAGGAATCAAAGTGTAAATATCCTATTGAGGAGTTGAGAGGCACCATTGTCATTTAGGTTTGTTCCCCATTGACAGAAGCAGTCCCCACCCCACTCAGGAATTCAGAAGTACATATTTCATTCAGAAGCTCCATTTGACAGAGATGAGAAGCAGTAGTGTCAGCCTGAGGCATTATGATCCCTGAATGAAAATACCGCTGCCCGAGGGCTGGAACTGAATTCTGATCCTGATTCTGCCTCCAATTAGCGGTCTCTTAAATACGCAAATTACTGACCAGTTCTGTTCCTCACTTTATGTATCTGTCAAGTAAGGTTCATGATACTTATTTCACTTCAGTAGCTTGCTGTGAAGATAAAATGAAATTACATCGTGTAAAGCCCTTTGCAGCACTTTTTAAGTGCCGTAGAAATGTGAAATATTCCTCTAAGAAGGGTCAGAGAGGTGTAGAAAACTGTGGGAGTTCAAAATTCAAGATACTCTTTTGACATCTTCACATCCTCCATGTGAGAAAGTATGTGAGAAAATGATTATTTGCGAATATAAGAAGAGAACGAAATTAGAAATAGAGTTCTTTCTCTCACCAAAATTAGCCTACTTGTGGTAAAAGTTAATTAAGTCCTGCTCAACCAGAGAAGGGCACATCTTTAAGGGGAAATAGCACGTAAGCCTTGACTCACGCAGAGAAGTGATGAGTTTGTGTCATATCTCACTCTGTACTCAGTAAGCCTCTGTTAGACTGTGTCTCCAATAGACCTAACCTGTCACTCCACCTGCTGTCTCAGGTCTAGAATTCGCCCACTGTGCTGCTTGGGTCATTAGAACAACACACACTTACACTCAGACAAAAGAGACAAGCAAGACAATTAACGAGCCATAAGGAAGTTTATCTGCTTCCGCCAGCTTTCATTCACACCGAAATCCAGTCCCCATCAAAGAGGACCAAAACATAGTGTGTTACTTCCTCTTTTGCAACCTGTTACATACTGTTAAAATCTTCCGTTGTAAGCTGGTAGGTCTAGAGCAGGGGTCAGCAAATTACCAACCCAGGCCACCATCTGCTTTTGTAAACAAAATGTTTTTTTTTTCCCACATAAAAATTAGAACTCTATTACCAATATGGTTGACTATACACAGATGAGCTAGAGACACTACCCAACATCACTTACATGTTCAAATGCCATGGGAATTTGATAGAAAAATCATTCTGGAGCTTAAAAGGACTCTGACATGGAGGTTGGTCATTGTCTTCTGCAGGCAAGACCATAAAGCATCAGAGGGCCACTGATCTTTATTTTATTTTTATATATTTTTATTGATTTCAGAGAGAGGAAGGGAGAGGGAGAGATCGAGGGCCACTGATCTTAATGCACACTTTAAAGATTGTCCTCAAAGTGGATTTTGTCATCTGTTTGGTAGCGTACTGCAGCTATATTTTGCAAAGTTTCATTCTTAGGGTTATTCAGTGAAAGCTTGCTTATTTTTATCACCTTTCTTCTTGTGAATAAATATTTTTTGGGTAACTATGGCAGGCAAAGTAGTGAGCAAGAACATGGCAGGACTGGAGATTCCAAGGTAGAGCGCTCATTGGTGCTCATCCATGGCTCACATGAGTTTCATTGCTTTGCCAAACGCCACCTGAAAGCCGTGCCACAGTGCTGTTCCCCCCTCTGCTGGGCAAGAGTTCAATGGTGAACCGGCCAGATTTGTTTCCTGCGGTTGCCATAGGCTGGGTTTCTGTTGTTGGGACTGGAGAAGATGAGTCGTTTCTCTCAGGATGCTGTACGTGTGCGCTGGCAAGGTCGCAGCAGAGGTAGGGACCCCAGGGGATGTTGGAAAGCTGGTGACCGTAAGTGGGGGTGGCTTAATGTTTACTAACATGTCGATTTTCAAATCATTAAACCACCCTGAGTACTTAGTGCAGCAGCAATATATGCCACTATCAGACTATTAAACCGCATTCTTTCTGGTTAAAGACACATTCCCTTTCTAAATGATTCCATTTAGCTTATAAGGCTTGTTCCTCCGAATGGTCAGTCTGGATCCATTAGTCCCAATGAGTTGGTTTGAACATAGAGACCACCCACATGCCCCTCGGCCCCAGCCTGTGGTTGTGACTTCACTAGCTGCTGAGTACGTACAGGGCAGCGTGACAGGCTGACCCACCACACCACTCACTCACTTGAACCTGAGAGATGACAGCATCGTCCAAAGTAGTGTGAGGCCTGTGAAGGCTGCACAAGGGTGCAGGATGGTATCATCCTGTCTCAGTGTGGCTCCTCCTTTATATCTTTAGTGGTAGGAATTCTGCTCAGCTAGTCTTGGCTGGTTCTTGGTGATGGTTCGTCTATAGTTTAATTGGAATTCTGAAGTGCTCCTTAAATAAAGTTGTATTGGGACACAACCACTCTCATTTCGGTGCGTATTGTGTATGGCTGCTCTAGTGCTACAGGGGCAGAGCTGAGTAGCTGCAATAAAGATTGTATGGCCTACGAAGCCAAATATTTGCTCTCTGGTGGCCCTTTGTAGAAAAAGTGTGGCTCTTCCTGGTCTGGAGCAATGATATGCATCCTGTCCACTCCCCACCAGCATTACCAAAACGAATTTGTTTTATTCATGTTTCTTTCTTCTTCTTTCATTTAATGAATTATTATTGATTTATGCATTAGCATCTAAGAATAATGGGATGTAGAGAGTTCTTCAGATGGAAGAATGTATAATGGCTAACAGCATTGAATTAGGAAGGTTTATTGAAAATACAGGCCAAAAAGAACATCTAAATAATACTCCATGAGAATGCAACCAGCAGTATCCAGAATGTAGGAAATGCTACACAATAAATTGCCTATGTGTTTTTTTTTTGTTTTTGTTTTGTTTTTGTTTTTGTTTCTGTTTCAGTAAATATATGGACATGGGAAAAAGAAGGTAGAGGAGGGCGCCTCTGGAAATGAAAGAGACCTAAGGGACAGTTCAACCTCGATATGCATCTTCTAATTTGAACAACCCAGCTGAGATTAATTGGAGATAATAGGAGAATTTGAAGTTTGACAGGGTCTTGGTGTTATGAAGTTATTTGTATTTGTTAGTTATAAGGGTATTGTGATTTTTAAGACATCCTTATCTGTTAGAGATCATTAATTGTAGTCTTTGAGGGTGAAATAACAGGGTTCCTAAACTTTTTTTTTCTTTTCTTAAACTCCTTCAGCCAGAAAAAAATCATAGGGAATACAGAAGAAATAATATTGGCAAAAGATTGATAATTATTGAAGTGGGGTGATACTGTTTATGCTTGTCTCTGAAATGTGCCTGTTTGAACATTTTCATTATAAAGTGTTTGTTTGTTTTTTAAACCATGAGTTTAAGTGTCAGTTTTCATTTGAATCTGGGTTTTACTAGCTGTTTCTAGATCGGTAAAATGGGCATTATAATTCAGGTTGTATATGACATTGTGATGATTATGAGAATTAAATGAGATAGTAAAGAGTTTAGCGCAGTGCCTAACACATAGGAAATGACCAATACCTGGTAGCTATTATATTGTATCTGCTATCAGACAACAAAAACATAACCCCTTTGGGGCTCAGTTCATGTATCATGTAATTGACTTTTGTGAATAACAGCTCTTAAACCCATATTGCTGCTACACAAGGATATCAGGAACTGAAATACAGAATGTTTTTCACTGTGTGCATGTACTTCCTTGGCAGTCCGAAAACAGCCACAACACCCGTACAGATGCAAAGAGGAAGAACTCTGGCTCCGAAATCATGATTGGAATTTTAGATTGTCCTATGATGGCTGTTTCTCCACAGCAGTTTTTTAAAAACCATAGTCAGTTTTGTGTAGTATTGCTAACAAATGCCTGTGAACACGTTTAACCCAATGTACATGGGAAGCCCTGTGACTATACGGTGGTGACAGATTTCCCAGTTTGCTCTCAGTGGAGCCCAGGGAAGGCTGAGTCCTGTGATTCTGCTTTAACTCAGCCTGGGCTGACTTAGCTGCTTCCTGGTCAGCCACTCATTAGCCAACGTGTATCTCGCAAACTTGTAGGAAAACACATTGACTTAAAGGTCCAGGATATTCGAGCCTCCCCCCTAAATAAAAGAAAATCATTATCTCATCCATCAACCACCTCAGGTAAATCAAATAAATGAGCTGGGACTTTTTATGGGTGTGGGAAGGTGTCTCCTTCTGAAGACAGTTACTATCAGAAAGAAATATTGGGAGCCTACTGTTCAAAATGTTTTTTATGAAAAGAAAAAGAATGAAGACTGGTTGTGGGCGGTTTAGGAAACAATGTTTCGGTTAAACTGAAGATACCCAAATTGTAATTTTTTTTTGTCTCTTCTTCCACAGAATGACATCACTCCTTTACATGTTGCATCAAAAAGAGGAAATGCCAACATGGTAAAACTACTGCTTGATCGAGGAGCTAAAATCGATGCCAAAACAAGGGTAGGAGTCAGTTTATGTGCATGCTTGTCCTTATTTCTGGGAGGTAGGAATACTTCTCCTAATAGCTTTGCACTGGTTCAGTATTGGCTTTATTTTTGTTCATTTGTTGTAGTCTCTTGGAAAATGACTGCTACGTTTTTTCTCCTTAAAATGGGATGATAATCCATATTTATAAATCTTTAGTATATGTTTAAATAGTGCATGGCTTTAATTACAGAATCTAAGGTCTAAAGCATAGAGTTTTAGTTGAGTTAAATTTTCAAGAATTTAACCACTACTTGACACTCCAGGCTTAGCTATTTAGTCAATTTGATGCTAAACCTGACTTAAAAACAAACCTTTCTACCTTTGTGCCCTGATGATGGGAATGTAAAATGGTACAGCTGCTATAGAAAACCATATTGAGGTTCCTTAAAGAAACAAAAAATAGAATTACCCCATGATCCAGTAATTCCACTCCTGGGTATAATTGATGGTAGAATGGTTGTTGCCTGGGGAGCAAGAAAATGGGGAGTTGTTGATCAGTGGGTATATAGTTTCAGTTTTGCAAGAAGATAAAGTTCTAGAGATGTTATACAGCAATGTGAGTAAAGCTAACATTACTGAACTGTATACTTAAAAATGGTTAAGAAAGTAACTTTTATATTGTTTTTTACAATTAAATTTTTTTTTTGAAAATCACATATCTATCTAGCTAGGTGCTTGGGAGGTTGCTTTTCTGGTGTGATGGATTGTGAGTGAGGAAAGAACCGAGACTTCAAATCAAGCTTGAATCCCAGGTTCTGAGTTTAGCTAGTTGACTTAGGTAGGATATTTAACCTTCTGCATGTTATTTCTCTTTGCAAATAAGAACCATTAATGGCTACCGTGCAGCATTGTCATAAGATCAAGCTAATGTTTGTAAACTGTGTGGTATAAAGTCATCCAAGAATAAATCCCAGCCATTGCTAGTATATCTCAGAGCTCCAATCACATTAAGCTTCTAACCAGGGCATTTCTTTCAGCATTTCATGCATTTGTTACAAGGTGCAAGCAAGAGCCAGGTTAATAAAAGGTGGTCGTGCCGTAGACATCCACCTAGGTAGGAATTTTGGATAGCTTTCCCTGTCTTGTCATTGTACCTCCCACAACCCTGTGCTTCTTCCTTCAAGAATCCTGATCTTCATGTGTCTACAACTGGCCTGGTAGCCTGAACTTGACTCCTGTAGCTCCTAAATGGACTACGTCGTTTATTAGTCACTACATTTATTCCCTCAACTAGTAAATGATTACCAAGCACCTGCCTGGGGCCAGACGTAGCAGGGTGGAGCAGGGGAGATGGAACAAGACAAGACACTTCCCTGCCCTCATGGCACTGATGGGAAGCTTGTCTCCTGTGTTCTAATCCTAAGGTAGCCCAGCCATAGGTATTTGGCAGAAGACCCAAATGTCTTTTTCCTGATGACTGTTGAACCTGAAAATTATGGATATATTTTAAAAGAAATAAGCTTTCCCTAAAGGAGTGAAGAAAGATGAGGGTTGACCTGTCTGACTGGGGAAGTAAATTGAATTGCAATAAAATATATATTGTTATGTAATAATATAATCTAATGAATAATATATTATTTAGACTCCACTGATAAGTTAAGGATACACGCTGTAATCCTTAACTTGAATAGAGACCTTATTGAACTGACTTTGCGTCATTTAATAAGAAGCAATTGCCAGTAGATAACAAATGCTAGAGCCATTGCTTTAAATGCCAAAGGTCTTCTGCTAAGTATGGGCTGTTTAAAGAGACTGTAAGGAATGAAAGACAGAGAGGCCTTGCTTATGCCAGTTGAATATCACAGAAGCTAATGGATTGTTTGTAAATAGGGTGAATCTTTGAGAAGGGAAGTGAGGGAGGATGCAGTCAATGGGAAAGAGAAGCTTGAAGAGGCATATCTGGATTTCCAGCTAAGGTTTTAGCAACTGTGTGGATCATAAATCACCTCATTTCATCCTCTCTTGATACAGTCGTCAATCACTTCTCAATCATTTATCAAACACTTGCTGTTTTGGGTACAAAGAGAGGAGAAAAGGGTACACAGGAAATTCTGGCCCCATCTTTATGGGGCATATGGTGTCCTAGGGGAGGGCCAGGATAAAAGCACAAAACACTCTCCTGAGAGAAAGTATCAGAAATGAAATAATGTGCACAGGCAAACTGATGGCGCAGCCGGGTTTCTGTGCCACGTTGCCTCCCTGTTCTGAAAGGCTGTCTTCTTTTAAACTAGACGTAGATTCCCTCCTATGGGTTTAAACTGGATTTACCTTCCTCGTGTGTTGTGTAAGTGACGTGTGAGTGTGAGGGAGACTTGGAGAAGCTGAGAACGGAAAAGCCCATCATTCTTCTATTGTTGTCTTGCGTGGAGTGGGGTGAAGGTGGGACCAGGCCCAGACTGAATTCCTGGCAGACGATATGGGAGAAAGTGTAGTACATACTCAAAATATGTAAACTATTCTGTGGTCTCCTCATCAGAGCTTCCCTTGTCTCTTGCTGAAATAACTGAGTGGCTGGATATGTGGGCTTGAAAGGGAGGGAGGGAGCTAGCTAAAATGTCAGAAAGCCCTGGGGACAAGCCTAAGAACTGACAACAAATTTTCATCAATATGTGTTTTAACAAAGTCCAGTGGCTCTTGAGAAAATATTGTTATCTACCCAGCTACCTCCTACAAGGTACATGCTACTGTTGGGGCTACCTTGTTTTTTTTGTTTTTGTTTTGTTTTTTCTTTATTGATTAAGATATTACATATGTGTCCTTATCCCTTCATTATCCCCTACCCCCAGCTCATGCCCTCACCCCGCCCCATTGTGCGTGTCCAACGTGCTTGCATATAAGTCCTTTGGTTGATCTCTCCCCCTTACCCCC